TGGCCACAAAAAAAAAAGGGGGGGGGGGGGGGGGAGAAGTTAGTGTGCATTTCCCTCGAAAATAAACTCTAATTCATGCCAGTTAAACACTAGAACTAAAAATTTACAAAGAAGCATCAAAGGAGATGGAAGTGTTATTAGAGTTACCTTTTCCTCTCTGAACAGTCCAGAAGAAAAACAATGACTACAAATACAGCAGGCAAACTGACTGTTGGACTGATGGGCATAGGATATATATAGTGTTGTAAGGAATTCAGTCTCAAGTTGTGCTAAACGCTCTTTGTCCTCTGTATGGCACATTTTGGTCCATGATGGGGATTTTAAGTTGAGACGAACCCTGATTTCTTACAGAAACGTGTAAATATTGTTGCTCTTTAAAATGCCAGGTGTACTTCCTTCTACAAAGGTTAGGAGAGGTTTATAGGAAGTAGTCTGGGGTACGACGGGTAACATGAGGCTCTCCACGACGAGGTGCTGGGTCAAACTGGAGGCTGCAGGAAAGAAAAAGGGATCATTTTCCCTCCTCCACAAGGTATTTCCCAATGCCACGATAAATACCAGACTTGCTCTCCTGCTGCTGTTGCTTTACTCATCCCAGCTGCTTCCACATAAAACGTTCCAGGTCCCAAAACAAGCACCCATGGGAGTTTAAACTCATCAGCTGGTCGAAATGCTGCTTACGGAGTGAACAGCCCCCAGCAGTCAGCACTTCAGCAGCCCATCGCTACTTTCACGTGAGCTCAGCTGAATGCAAAATTCAGCCTCTCTCACCCATCTTTACAAAGCGTAGTACTACCAAAAATAAAAACCAATCCATAAAATCAATCCCTCTTGACTCTCTCCATCAAGCTTGGGCAATAGAGGGATTAAGAAAATGCAAAAGCTCCAACTCTCCAGAGAGCCAAGAAGAGGAGATAATGCAGTACCCAGGAGAAGCTTTTAAGAGCTTAACTCACTACTTATTTTTAGATATTCTTGCAGGTAGAGCACACAATGTTAACTCCAGAGTGGTTTGAGCTGGCTTTTCACAAAGGAGCCCCTTTGGAAAGGATCAGACATTCCTCATAATGCAGAACGGTTAGGAAGAGAGAACAGCCCGAGCCAGGTTACTTACAAGGAATATTTTAAAGTGTCATCTAGTTCCATGATAGCAGCCTGGTTCCCACAACGATAACAGTAATTGGGCGCACTGAAAATGGTAACCACATTTCGGTCGTGGCACCAATTATAACCCTGCCAGAAAAAGAGAAAAAAAAAGGTCTTTGTTAAACCTCAAACCTCAGCCCTTCTGAAGTTCCTCTGAAGGCCTGAAATGATCCAAGGCATTTGTGAAACTGTAGTCTTCTCCTAAGTATTCCCAACTGACATAGTTTCGTTTTAAAAGAAGTACTCTACCACAAGAAGAAGTGGTGGTTACCTAGCAAAACCAGCTTCAACCACTCTACAGAGAGATCGGCCATTCGCCACTCGTGTGTTTATTCATTTTTTATATAAATTATGGATTGTACCACAAAGAAACCTCAAGACTTTTTGGTATGCCTTCAGCTTTTATCCACCACAAACAAGAATTTGCCTGCTGGATGCAAGCGACTTCTGACACACAGTACTACTTAAGGGATCTACTTGAACTAGATTTTAAAAATACATCTGCTCCATTGACCCACCTGGCATTTTTCCAGCAAGACGTACAAGAATAGCCTATCAACAACCAAAATTGTGGCTTAATCCCTGCCACATCTGACTGCTGAGTATTACAGGACAGCCTGCTTAACGCAGCAGCAGTTTAAGTAGAGCAAGCAGCATGTAAGGAGATTATTACTTCCACAAATGGGGTGTGACAGGGTCCCTTTGACAATGTACAGGGAGAGGAGAAGGGGGAAAAAAGGGCAGAACATCCCTTTATTTACATCGCAGGCCAAAGCACATCACTTCATGTCTCTTGTTGTTTTCACATGACTGAAGTCCCTCTTTGATATTTACCTGCATAACATTTAGCTGTCAGCCTATGCAAACCCATCAGGAGAAAGTCTCGCAGAGGAGACAAGAATTGGCATCTATGTTTTGTTAGCCCCCTCTAGCAGAGTGCTTGCCCTACCTCCATGACAAGTTGGTGAGCACGGGAGACCAGTGTGAGACCATTGGCATGGTTAAATGTTTCAGAAATATCTTGCCCAAACGTGTAGCCAGCACCACGCGGAGATATACCCCAGCCGCCACGATCATCTGGATCCGACCATAACAGATCACACATAGGACCCTTGAAAAAGATTAAGCATTCTTCATTAGATCACTAGCAAGTTCGTTATAAAAAGCCACTTTTAAAGTGTATTTTATTTACAGTAAAAAGACTGGCAGCATGTCCTTCTCTGCACAAGGCACGTGAGTTTATTCAACACACAAAATATTGGCTAGTTACTTACTGTATCAGTCAGCATCCTTCCCAAAGAAATGAATACGTACACAGCTGACTGAGAAAGGAGTCCATGTAACCAAAAAACTGTTCCCACCTCCTCTTCCACGCACACTGTTTACCATTGCACTTCCACTAGTCAGAGACACAAAGACACGGAGAGCAGATCCACATTCTTACTCCTGACTCTCACAGTATAATAAAAAAGGCCACATGAGAAGGTATGCATGTCCAAGGATACACTGCGGGTTCACTGGTGCCAGCCAAGTTGCAGTAAATGAAAGAAAGGTAAATGACCCGCAGGAGGCTATGAACTAACTGGTCCAGAGATTGATGTAAGCCTTTGGCAGCCCTTCTGGCAGTGTATTAATCATTTCATTTCTTGTCCTAAACAGTCTACTGTTGACATATTCAAAAACATCCCCGTGTACGTCTTCTAACAGTCACAAATGAAGCTGAGTGACTTTTCTTGCTGAGGTACTAAGGGACAGTAAAGACACTCTAGTATTTATCCAAGCCTGCTTCTGTTTCCTACCCACCGATCAGAGCTCTGCGACAGGGATCACACCGACTACCCGTGGAGGTCCTCAGGATGGCCAGATTTCAGCACACAGATACGCAGCACAGGACTGGGAAAACCCCAGAGTAACAATATAATCATTACACCTAACTACAGGTACATGTCCCACCAGGTAGTCCCCCCCCCCCCCAACTCCGGGAGTAATTGACACAGCTTATTTCAGGTTTTTTGGAAGGCTTGGGCAGACCTTAATGCATTGCTCTTGCTGTTATACCAAAGACACTGCAGGACAAGCAGTTAATTTTAATCAGGGAACATTTAAGTCATTTGTAAGCCCCAACCACTCCAACACGGAAGAGCCATTTGCTACCCTGGGAGCTCAGACGGTGGTTTCTTCAGTCCTGATCTCGTGCCCCCAGAAAGTGATGAACAAGGTGAAACACCACAGAAGAAAGGACTGGCTGGAGAGGAAGGATGGTGACACAACATGACTTCACATGGTGCTTGTCTGTTCACAAGCAGGTCTGTGATGAGGCTGAAGGTAGTAAACACTGTCCCCTGCCAAATACTATTCTTTGAGTCAGTGTGACAGTCAAGAAATCCCATGATTCTGTGAAAGACAGCTGTGAAAACCCCATAACTCTCCTTTTGTAGATTGCTGTAATCAAAGCATGTTGACTTGTGTGTGTTTTGCTTAAATGTATGTTCATCTGCTATAGCTCTTAAAAGGTAATAATCCACTGTGTAACCATGTGTCCTGGTTTAGGCTGGGATAGAGTTAATTGTCCTTCTAGTAGCTGGTATAGTGTTATATTTTGGGTTCAGTATGAGAAGAATGTTGATAACACACTGATGTTTTCAGTTGTTGCCAAGTAATGTTTAGACTAAGTCAAGGATTTTTCAGCTTCTCAGGCTCAGCCAGCAAGAAGGCTGGAGGAGCACAAGAAGTTGGGAGGGGACACAGCCAGGACAGCTGACCCAAACTGGCCAAAGGGATATTCCATACTATGTGATGTCATGCCCAGTACATAAACTGGGGGGAGTTGACTGGGGCAGATCGCTGCTTGGGAACTAACTGGGCATCGGTCAGTGAGTGGTCAACAATTGCATTTTGTATCACTTGTTTTGTATATTCCAATCCTTTTATTTTATTATCATCATTATTATTATTTTCTTGCTTTCTGTCCTATTAAACTGTCTTTATCCCAAGCCATGAGTTTTACTTTTTTTCCCCCAATTCTCTCCCCCATCCCTCTGGGTGGGGGGGAAGTGAGTGAGTGGGTGCATGGTGCTTAGCTGCTGGCTGGGGTTAAACCATGATACCATGTGCTTCACTGTTTAAATGGATTTCAGTGTGAGGCTGCATTTGCATTTTCCATCAACAGATATCTAAGTTTATGATGCATTTCCTTTCCTGTTACCTCATGTGGAACTTCCTGCAGGCGGTCGAGAGCCCTGATATGATCCAGTGTATCTATGGATGGAGAGAGGCCACCGTGGAGACAGAATATCTGTTCCGGGAAAAAAAGAGCAACGCGTTCAGCGCATATTGTTATGGGAAGACTGATCTCAAAAATAGCTGCTTTTAACTCTGTTATCATTCTTTTACAATTACAGCCGTCTCACCCTTGCAGCAGAGAAACCAAATTTCATTCCTGCAGAAGGAAACAAACTAAAAGGCTGCACCTTGCATACAGAGATCTACGCAACAGCAAAGGTACCCTGCCTTCCGTTTTAAGAATATCTTGCCTCACAGCCACAGCTCAACTTGCATCTGATGTATCACGAGGGGATCCCCACTTGTTGAGCAGTCATTTAAAATTTGCCCTACATGCAATACCCTACCATTCCTTCAGCAGCACAATCAAAAGCCTTCCCACACCATCTACTTGTATTAACGCCTCACTAAATTCTTCCCCAAACTCACAATAAATACATGGGCTTTAAAAAATTTTGGATCACAAGTTAAGGGAGCTTGTTTGAGACTGTTCATGTAGAAGTCAGATAATACAGTCTGCATAACTCTATGAAATGGAACATTTTCCTTATTCAAGGCTTACCTGGCCGTCTACTAGAGCTGTAAGCGGAAGATAATCAAACAGATCTGTGAAATACTTCCAGACATTGGCGTTGCCATACTTTCGCAGACATTCATCATAAAAGCCATAGACTTGTGTAATTTGTCTGCTTTCGTGATTGCCCCTCAGTATTGTAATACGTTCTGGGTAACGCACCTATTGACAAAGAAAACTCGTCTTTAACACCATCAATATGGAAAGAAATAGTAACAGAGTATTTCAAATAGCAGTCAAGCACTCAGCTTTGTTATAGGATAGCATGAGTCCATTAATGCATTTCAATTTATGTCCGTCTAGCTCAAGCGAACAGCAGCATCAATGGGAGGAGCAATTCTTTCAAAACTCCCCGAAAGCACAGTTTTGCCCAAGGCTGCTGTAGAAAACCATACCTTCAACGCTACTAGAAGAGTCACAGTTTCCACCGAGTAATAGCCTCTGTCCACGTAGTCTCCCATGAACAGGTAATTTGTGTCTGGAGATTTCCCACCAATTCTAAAGAGTTCCATAAGGTCATGGAATTGACCGTGGACATCCCCACAGACGGTGACGGGGCAACGTACCTCTTGAACATTCGATTCTTTCGTAAGAATTTCTTTAGCCTAGCAAGAAAAAAACATTTAGGACAAAAAGATAGGAAGCTCCTTCATAAGCAGGTGCAGATGTTATTCCACTGCATTTGCACTGGAAACCTGATTTCACTCCAGCAGCTGAAGGTAACTACTGGAAACACAGTTTGTTGGGTAAGCAAAGACAAAGTGCATTTTACAAATCCCTGTGCACAAAGACAAGTGGGTTTGCTACTGTGAGGCCAGGCCGTGAAGATCTTATTGTATCACAAGCACTGACAAATAAATTCAAAGTAACTAAACAAGTTAATTCCCAGCCTCCCCTGAAATGAAGCACAAGACAAAACACTATTCCAGCAAGCTTCATTAGCATCATGGGCAGACGTTATCTTATTAAGCACAATTGATTTTCTTTTTTTTAACATACAGATTTTGACGGACTTCTCCATCTGTACACTCTACAGAGCTCATGCCTGTTCACCTCAGCTACGTGAACTACGGCAGCACTCACCACTCTAATCTGACTGCCAAAGTCAAGTGGTATTCAGTTTCACAATACCTAGAAACTTTTATCTCAAGAAACACAGCTGTCCCCTCAGTACTGCAGGCCATCCCATGTCCTGTCAGCAAGAGTTCAGTGTGGAACTCGTACGAACAGAGATTAGTCAATACTCTTGCTGTCTGCTGTAAGGGTAGAAATACCAGAGGAGATAGTGCACGCTGCTCAGGCAACTACTACGGTTTTTTGAACAACCTGATTTGCAAAAGCACACATAAAGCTAGATATTATTCGGTACTTACACTAGTAGGAAAACTACAACCTCCTAGACTTCCATCAGAAGTCATCTGACTTGCAATGAGGCACTTACTCCCTCCTGCCACATTTTAGTCTGACTACCACCTCAGTTGCTCAACGGATTGCTCTCAATCCCACACAGCCATGTGGAACCATTCGCGTTCCACCTTCGCTGGCAACACAGCAGCAGGCTGGAATAACTCTTCCGCCAGCACTGACAGCTACTCCTCACCGCCTTCCTCCTCTGGGATCCCTCAGGGTTCCCCCTGTTGCTGCACAGCCACAAACCTCAAGTGCTCTCCCAAGATCAGATTTCTCAGCAGCGGGTCCATGCCATTGGAAACGGCACTATGAACAGCATGTTCGTTCCACATCGACAAAGCCAGCTCATTGTGTGATCGCTGAGCAGAGATGATGCTAAGAAAGGCTGCACACGACAAAGCTGCTCAACTGGCAGAAACGCTGGGCAACCACTACGGCACAACATGAGCTGAGCTGTGTTACTCTGCCAAACAGTAACCAATGCGAGCACCAGTACTGGGGGTTGACGGGGCTGCCCCAGCTCTCCGGAGGTACTGCGCTTTCAGATTGCATTGTGGTTGAGTACGAGACGACTGGAGCCATATGTCAGGAAAGGGAGCCTTCTCTGCACATTCCCAGAACACAAGGGAACTAACAAATCCGTTTCCCTTGCAGAGGGGCAGGTTTCTTCTTCTTGCTTAAGCTACCGAGGAAAACAAGTATTCGTAAGCTTCACTTTACTAACCTGGCACAGAACATCACTGCATATGCAACAGGTGCTTCTCTCACCCAGGGCACTTTTTGCCTGCCAGATTTCCAATCCTCTTCCAAACACAACAGTTTAACAACTTCTAAAGGCAGGTCACATACAACTGGGAAAGCAAAGTCAGAGGCAATTTAAACATACGGAGCCACAAGCAGCTTCCCTGGCTGTACCCAGCTGGCAACAAAACGACCACAGATGGAGGGATGGCATCCCCGGATTTAGTCATCTCTTCCTCTACACCCAGCAGCTCCTCTGCTCATTACAGCCATGTAATGTAGCCTGTCTGCATCACCTTATTATCGTTATCAAGTAGCATGTTTGTTTTGCTGCCTCCAGCTCATCAACTGATGCAGATCAGCGCTCCAGGCACAGCTGAGGCGCAGAGAACACCCACAGATAGGCTCAGTCCAATCTGAACAAAAGGGATGGAAGATCACCAGTGCTGAACAGTCACCAGCAGGCGATGATCGGGCTATTCATCGCCAAGTCCTTTAGCTCAGGATGACGTAGCTCCCACCTGCTGCTACCAGGAAGAAGCTGCTTACCGAGGACACCCTTAGTGGGCTCCCCAAGGATGCCTGTGTTCACATTCAAACGTTAATTGTCCTGCCTCTTTTAAGGAAAGCTCATATTCAGAAAGAATAACTAAAATCCAAGCAGCCAAGGGCTTGGACAACATCCAGGGTGCCCCTTCCACTGTATGTAACACAAGGGATGTGACCTTGATCCTCAAAGACACATCCTGCACATGGACCTGATGACATGGGGTCTATCTTGCAGCTCTAAACTGACTGGAAGCTGCTGAACACGTTGCGTCTTTGAGTGCAATAGTAACACTCAAATTCTGTTCAACTATCTTTAAAAGCACCCATAGCACCTTTTGAGAGCTTCGACCCTCTGGGAGAGACAAACACAAAACAGTCACAAAACAGCTGCTCAACGTCTTCTGACTGTTGCACAACGCAACAGACAGGGTTTCGTTATAAGCTGGAGCTAACAACCACAAAAGGTGTGAGGTATTTTCTGCCTTTTTGTATCACGCACACTGCTGCCTTCCCAGATGCGTAAAAAGAAATCCACTTACTTCAAGAGACCGGGGAAAAGATGCGGGACACTGCACAGATATCATGCATACTTACCAGTGTCTCAACCACATCGCCAGTCTCCACCTCTCTGATCTGCCCATCATGAAAACCCGTGCAGCCATCCTGAGAACACGTACAGGTAAAGCAGCACAGGCAACAGAGAAGAGGTCCTTTTGTGCAATAATAGGGCAAACATACTCACGTTAAATGCATCCTAGGAAGGTGGGCTAGCCGAGTCCTGAAATGTTGGTACTAGGAGAATCAAGAAGTTTCCCCTCAGGAGAGAGGAGGAGCTAGCAGCTGAAGAGCAGCAGCTTCTTAAGCTGCCTACCAGCTGTTACTGTGTAGCCTATTTAACTTACTATGTAGACAAACATACAGGCACATTAATGGATTAAGTCTGTCGTTTTAACACCGCAGAGCTGGTTCAAATCAGGCTTGGGAGCTGAGCTCAGCTGGCCACAGAAGTTTGCCCTCACATGACTTTCTAATGCAGAACGAGACCTTTAAAATCTTAAGCATCATTAAAAACACCCTAGAAAAGCTGTAACTAACCAATGCACTCTGCTCACGTATTTCACTGTGCAAAGCTAATGTGGAAGTCAAATGACTTAAAATAACAAAAGCACCATTACAAAACAAGGATAAAAAACTCTGATGCAAGTAAGCTGCCCTGCTTTATCATCATATGCTTAGTTAAGAAGGCTGTTAAATAACTATGACTTGAAGTCATATTTTAGCTACCTTTGTTTTAGAAAACGGTAACTAATGTTATCAGCTACCTAAGCACGTGTCCCAATTGTTTTCGATGAAAACCATATCCACGTCAGAATAAAAAGAAGCAGCTTTTAGGTATTTTTATTAAATAAACCTCCATTAAGCACAATAGTTACCATGCCTGTGCTCAAAATTACTTGGAAGAGAAGACTATTTGTTGGCTGTGAGGTTGCCCGTCATCTCAGCTCCCCTCTCTTTCTCAGTTTTAGGTTCTGTGGTCACCTTTGTAGACTGGAACACAAGATTGTCTGCTGTCCAGTCCTCGACCTGCGTGGAGAGAGGCGGGAGAATGCACGTCCCAATAATTTACTGTGCTGTCCTTGCAAAAGGAAACCGAGCGGTCTCAGGGCTTGAACACAACCCATTAACGCGCTGCTCCGAAACCTGAGATGCTACACCAGCTTTGAGACTACCATCAGGATCACCAGGAGACTAATCCCTCTGTGAGAGACTTAACAATCAAATCCACATCAACTATTATGCTATTTAGATTTGTCTATGATAATTGTGTAGGCTGATTCCATGGCTGAGGGGATTATGATCCAACCAGGAGGCAGATTTTCAGCATTGTGCTTTCTCTAGGGAAAAACAAAGACCCCCAAGCACCTCCTTTACACACAAGATCCTTTGAGAGCACAGAAACTCAACTCCTTCTGGAACGTTCATTGACAGCACCACAAGCTCAGTTTGACCCATAAAGGCTCTTACTTCAGGAATCAGAGAAGCCAGCCACGGAGCTTCTGATAAAAATTCAACTGAACCGTAATTCCATCAGCTGCGACAGACCAAGCTACTACGTCGACAAGTGTACTGAGGGTATTAAATCTCAAGGAGCTTGGCCAGAACAAGGACCAGCTAGATTCTCCCCAAATGAGAAGGAAGCTGGAGAGATGGAGGTGTCCTGCCCTTCAGCAACAAGGCAGAAGAGGACACCCTGGAGCCTCAAGCATGACAAGGACCGTCAAGGTGCACAGGTGCTCCTAGACGCACCTGCGCCAGCGTGCCCCAGGATGAGCATCACCACTGAAGAGATGAAATATTCCTGGCCACAACTCAACATGACACTCGGAATTTCATGGTTTGAACAGCATCCAGGATGCTACTTGGCTCCATCACTCATACTAATTTCACCAACTAGTGCAGAAGAGCTGCTAACTCATTCTCCTAAAATTATTCTTAGGTGAAATGATCTCGGAGGGCAGAAGCATCCTAAGTACGTGCCAGTAACAGCAATACTCCCTACAGCATCAACTGGCTCCTGCTGCTTGGTTTGAAGAATCAGTTTACAATTACCATTCAATAACCGTACAAGAAATGCAAGTCTTCATTAGCGATTAGAATCCTTCTCCTCCCACCACTTCACAGCACAAAGCCCTCAAGCTGCTCACAGCAACGAGACTGTAACCCTTCTTACACATACAAAGAACACAGAAAAAAGAAGCTACAAAGAGAGAGACAGTTATGGATGGTTGCTTGCCTGTGTTTAATTTAAGAGACAGCCTTTTACTTGCCTTCTTTCATATCCCATTGTATTACCTTGGTAAAAAACCCTTTTCCCTGGGGTAAGCAGGATGGCTCTCAACTCCCTCACCTGCACCAGAATTAATTTGCTGACCTGACTTGAACTTTAAAATGTTAAGTATTCAGAGATTTCCAAGTCCAAACTTGGGAGTGCTTGCCATTAAATGAATCCAACTTCTTGGCCTTTTAGCCTGACTTTAGCTGTCCAAAATACAGGTTACAACCTGGGCAAGTTCAAAGGCAGTTCGATACAGCCAGCACTACCCTGCTATCAGTATCCAGGTTAACAATTTCAAAGCTAGCACCAGCACAGAAAGCTGCCGTGGCACCTCTGATGAAGCTCAGACATAATCAAAGGCAGAACTCTATAGCTTTTCACTGCCTATTTAATAAGAGTGGAAAAAGGTTTTAACAACCTTCTACCGTAAAGAGAGTCTAAGACCATGATGTTAAGAGAAGTAGTATGAGATGCGAGATATCTGACACACATTTCACCAACATGCTGGAACATTTCTCGTGTCTACAAGCTCCAGCAGTGATCATAATTGTTTGTCCTTCTATTATCATTTAAATGTCAGCATGATTTTAGCTAGATTTCACATTAAAGACCAGCAGAACGGGAAACAAGTGTTTTCATGTTGTCTTGAGATGACATCTTGATTAACTGCATGAAGAATACAAGACTGATTAGCTGCCAAAATTATGTCGTAACTGGACAAGTGATGACAGAATGTGATTTTTACAGGTGCAAATTTCAAGAACTTTCAGAGTTTTGGCATAATTTGGCATATCCTCATCAACCCTAGCTATGCCCAATCTTTCCCTCATTACTGTCCATTATGCCAGCAATTAAAAACAAGAGTGACCCACAGAAGGCAAGTCTGGGATCTGTTTCTTGGGGGGGGTGTTTAATCCCTCATTTTGATTTAAACCTTTTTTTCTTTTTTTCACGACTGAACTCTTGCACAAATTTAAACCTGCGGCAAGAGGTCCTATTGTGCTTGGCCTCTTAGAAAATTGTCACACAAAAGGGAGTGCTAAGAAGTGAGACAAGGTTGGTAAGGGTTTCTCCAAATATTATCTGAAGGAAACAAACTAAACAAGCTTTCTGGCAGGGCTACTTCACACCAAAAGCAAGCCTGCACACCCAAAAGTTTTTGTAAGCTCCTTTCCACTACCAGCTGGGTAACACAACCACTCCCCAAAAACTTAAGAATAAGGCAGGTAAGAGCATCGCAGAGTATTTACTTCATACTCAAGTTCTTCCGATCAGCCTTTCATTCACCCTTGAAAACGAGGTGCTGTGATAGATGACATTCATCTCATGCCGTGCACCACAGGTTCAGGGTTCCCACCTATCATCTGGATGACAAACACCCTCTCCACCTCCAGCTGCAACGCGGTGCGCTGAGCTGCCACTCTCCCTGTTTGCTGTGCCAGCCCTGACGTACAGCCACAACCTGCTGGCATTGTCCTCCAGCTTTTCAAAACACAGCAGCCACAGCTCCTTAATTAACAACGCAGCCGGAGAAGAAGGGAAATGTTTTTCTGTAACAGCTTGCTGGTTAGAACAGCAGTTCCCAACCAGCAATGCTTGAAGCAGGGCACAGATCATGCTAATAAATTCTTTCAGGCTTATTAGCTGGGCCTCACACAGGAGACAGCACAGCCACAAGGAGCTCTTACTCACTCTTCAAGATCTATCTACTCTTCAAGCCACTGCTGTCACTCCCTGCTGCGGCACCAGCCCTTCTCACCACACTCCCTCTGAACTGATGGAGCTCTGGAGAAAGAGTCATAAAACAAACGGACCGCATGGGATAAAGAAAAGGGAAAGGGAGAAAGAAAACAGAGGCTGGGTGGGGGCTAGCTAGATTTCAGGACCACCAGTGAAAGCATTTGCCAGGAAGCCAGAGCCTGGAGTCCTGCATAGTCTCTGCCTGCGGCATTCAAACAAACAGCTCCTACCTTCCCGATGAGCACCCCTGGCACATTATGAGGCTGCAGCACAGACCCTCTCTACTGTTCAGACCTTATCACTGCAGTAGTCTACTGAGGATCCGATAGAAGGAAACAACTGTGTCTTCTGAAGTTGGCACTGAGATGTTTAGTCACTGGCCAAAATGTGTTGCCACGAACAGGCATCAGAAAATATTCTCCACTTCTGAGAGAACCGAGCGAGACACAGAGGTAATAACATGACAATGCCAAGTTCACCATCAGCAATATGACGCTAAAGGGAAGGCTGAACTAACTACTCTATCCTCTGCACCTGATAATTATCAGTCCGTCCAGGAAAGGAAGCCGAGAGCTTCTCTAGCCCACCTGATGCACAGCAATGGTCCCTGCTGGTCACTGAGATAAGGAGCAAATAGAATAATCTCTGTTACTACATTTGTTACCGCTTGAATTCTTTAATTGTGACATCTTGCCAAGTCCAAAGAAAATCCTAACTTAGACACAGATTGCAGTATTGAGGGAGTGTTCACACAGAGGGATTTAACTTCTCGGACAAAATCTGACAAAAGTCTAAAGATCAGTCTCCTGATTGAAAAGAAAAAAAAAAAAACCAAAAAGGCTCTTGACAGTCTACACTAAACAAGTCCAAACAGGAATTTCACTGTCAAAACCACTGTCCAAAATAGCAGGCGATGTCCTTTATCCAAGCATTTCTCCTATTTTAGTCTCCCTCAGCAGCTTGTAAGCCTCTGTTTAGGTCGGCACTACAGCTTATCTCTTATCCCCCTCTGCTTTCCTAGATTACACATCAGATGTCAGAAGGTCTCCTCATTGATTCAGGGTTGACTTTTTAGTACGTGGCTACTACACATGACGAGAAGGAAGAGATAAGCGCAAGGTGAGGCCCCCGGAAGACAGAATACACTTCTCCCTGCCCACATCACCCCTGAGCCTCCCCCGCGACCCAGGTGAACCCAAAGCCAAAAGGTAAAAACCATGCTATTGCGGACAGTTATGTGTGGGGAAAAAAAACCAACCCTACAACCGTGGCATTTTTAACGCCAGAAATATACTGTCGCTGTATCCAAGAGGACTCCCCACCTCAGAGATACTCCAGGCAGCATCACGCTCTCACAGCGAGCAAAGTGAGGAGAAGCAAACCTGCTTCCCCGTCACAGTACCCCACACAACGCCCACTGCCTTTTTCACTAGGTTTTGCCCTCAGCTCCCCCAGCAGCGGGGCTAAGGGACCGCAAGCCCCAACCCCGAGTCAAACCCCTCCGGCTTCCAGCGTTGCCGGCCGGGGGAATCCCTCACCGGGCCCTAGAAAGGAGAAGAAGCCGAGCCCACGCCAGCGCTGTCCCCGTCCCCTCCTCCGGCCTCCGCACTCACCTTCTCGCAGAGGCTGCGGACCTGGCTCTCGCTCAGCTGCCGGCACTCGTTCAGCTGCTCGATCCACTGGTCCAGCTCCTTGGCGAAACCTTTCTCCTCCATGATGGCGGCGGCGGCCTCCTCGCCCGCCGCGTGGGGCCGAGGCCGGGGGCCGAGGAAGGCCCCGCGACACCCGGGCCCACCTAAAAGTAGACGGCGCAACTAACCGGGACCGCTAGGCCTATACTCCGCGTAATGGCGGGCCGCCCCCCCC